AGATAACTTTTTCAATATTTATCTTACGATATCTCATTAACTGTTTGTCGGAAGAAAAAATAGTACTAGACTTTTTTACTCTATTTGGTCTCAAGAATATATTGGTGCAATGGTCTATCTTTTGTTAACTTATTGACTTTTGGAAATTTAACTGACCTGACTTTTATTAATTTGATGATTTTGAAATTTTCAAAGATGGAAATTTCCAAAGGCGGAAAGTTCAAATTAATTGGTAGAAGAAAGTGATGTAATAAAAAGTTGGAACTTTTATTTAAGAAAATTGATCACTAGTGAATATCTCGAAAGTAGCATCATCTGTAAACAAAATGCTATCGTTGTCCCCTTTCGCATCCCCTTTTAAGCTAAACAACTTTTGTTTAAACAATTTTTTTGTATCTTTAATTTTCTAACAAATAATTAAGCATATCCGCTCGAGTCAGACATATTGTATACGTTCATCTATCTAACATCTTTATTTAGTGTAATAAGTTGCATATTTTGTTGTAACGATACGATCGTTACGCATCGGGCCGAGCCGAATGCAGTCCGCAGGAAAGCACCCTGCACAGGATGCAAGCGAACGAGAGGAGCAATAAGACCGAGCGAGCGACGGGAGCGAGAAAGCGAGCGAGCGAACAAAGGAGCGAGCGAGCACGTGGCGCGCGCGTGGAGGCAAGGACCGCCTCGGCGCGCGCGGCATGCGATCATCAAGTGCCCCCCCGTGTCGCGCGATACAGGAGGGAAACGAACTAAAGTCGCACGGGCGGCCAATATAAGGCGCCGTGCGACTGACAAGAGCACCTGTCTTCCGATGCCTCAAGACGAGGCACCGATCCGCCTGAGAGTTCTCCGGCATCTTCTCCACGTACTCGCCATCCTGAGAGCGAGTGTCCTCGCCGACTTCTCCAAGGCGAGCGTACTCGCCGCCTTCCAAAAGCGAGCGTACTCGCCATCCTGAGAGCGAGTGTCCTCGCCGACTTCTCCAAGGCGAGCGTACTCGCCGCCTTCCAAAAGCAAGCGTACTCGCCATCTTGAGAGCGAGTGTCCTCGCCGACTTCTCCAAGGCGAGCGTACTCGCCGCCTTCCGAAAGCGAGCGTACTCGCCATCCTGAGAGCGAGTGTCCTCGCCGATTTCTCCCAGGCGAGCGTACTCGCCGCCTCCCTAAAAGCGAGCGTACTCGCCACCCTGAGAGCGAGTGTCCTCGCCGATTTCTCCCAGGCGAGCGTACTCGCCGCCTCTCTAACAGCGAGCGTACTCGCCATCCTGAGAGCGAGTGTCCTCGTCGACTTCTCCCGGGCGAGCGTACTCGCCACCGTCTTCCAAATAGCGAGCGTACTCACCAACCCGAGAGCGAGTGTCCTCGCCATCTCAAGACGAAGGTGCTCGTCCGCCGTAGACAACGAAAAGATCCACGCAGATCGCCTCGACCGCGTCCCCGCGTGCGAATACGTGGTCCGAAGCGCCACGGGCAGCCCGCCGGCCCGAACCTTTCCGCGGACGGAACACGGCAAGCGACCACCCACTGGCTGCACGCACCACTTACTATACCTCGGCACTGTTCAGTTCTAAATAAAGCTATTTTATTAATATTCGAACAACTAATTGAGCGCGATCCCTTCCCGCCGCTGGGTCCGGCGAGCCGCGCCTCGCCGAGACCCCTCGATAACAGTCCTTAGCGGGAAGGACCCGCACGGACGCACACCAGGCGTCACAGTGTCATTAACCAGTTCACTAGTGGGTCGAAATAACGTTTTGTACCAAAACTAGTCAGAGTGAATAGTGTCATATTTTATATGTAAGCTTATCTATAAAAGGTGTTTTGAGTCGCTGATTATAATCAACTCAATCGACTCAAAACTTATAATTATAAGTCCGAAGTCAAAATTTTAAAATCCAAAATGGCGGTTCCAATATGGCGATTTTAAATGGCTATTTTTGATATGATATTATGGATATACATCAGACTCGGTATATGTATGTTTTATCGATCATAAATAACAGAGTCGAAATTAAGAAAATTAAAATGGCGGATCCAACATGGCGTCTTTAAGTGATTAACTTTGTTATTTTATTATGAAAATGTATTATATTCAATATAATTTTTTGGTCGCAGATAATGGATTAGTTCAAGATATTCAAACTTTATTTTATTTTCACTATGCAGTTAAGACTGGTATATCTGTTTCGTACGGCTACAAAAAATAAAAAAGTAAGAAAGCAAAAAATAAAAAACAAAAGAATTAAAATTAAGAAAATAAAAAAAATAGAAGAATAGAATATAAATCCTACTGTAGCCTCCATGTGGCACACTCTGGGGTCGTGATATTTCACCAGCTAATACGGAGGTAAAAGTATATATAATAAAATAGCGTTAGTTACTAGAAGCAAAAATATTGGTCTGCCATGTTGGATCCGCCAGTTTTAATGTTTTTATTTCGATTCTGTATTTGTTATCTGTGATCAATAAAATATACATATACCGAGTTTGATACATATCCATAATATTATATCAAAGTTAGCCATTTGAAGTTGCCATATTGGATCCGCCGTTTTGAATTTCTCAAACTTGACTCTAGATTTTTAATTAGCGACTTAAAAACCTTGGGAGTACCGAGTTGTGTGCAAATCCGTTGAAAATTAGCAGAATTATTCAAGATGGACATATATGGGCCATTACCAGAAGTGTCACTAGAGACCAGCAGCTTGTACCACTAGTACAAGTAACATGTCTCTCTCTGTAATTGCCGTGTGCTCGGAATAGCACTCGAGATGTCGCTTCCAAACGACATCTCTTAACGTTATCTAGGGAGAGGAGAATGTCGTGAACGTGGAGTGTCAGGTAGCTCAGTGGTCTAGAGCAGTCGCCCGCCAAGCGAAAGACTCGGGTTCAATTCCCCGGCCTAGCGATTGCCGCGCTCTCGATATTTTTCTCTCTCCGGAACAAAAATAAGATGCAGGTCCTGAACGCACGGTGTCCCGCCGCCACTTAGTACGCCCTCCTTCTTTCATGGTCTCTATATTTTTTTGGACATATATGGGCCATTATCAGTGAACTGGTTAAGATTAATTCTCTTACATTTTATGGTATGAGCAAATATGCATAAGAGACAGTTATTGCGTAATACAGCGCAACTAAAAAGAAATAACACAACACCTATCTACAGCGCAGCATCTATAGCACGATGGTATCATCTCGTTTTTCTAAAAATTAATCATGACCATATTGTATTATTAGATATGGATGGATTTGACATCAAATGCTCTTCAATTTTTGTTCTCATGCAATTTTTTAACTTTGCAAAATTAAAAGGATAGGAGGAGGGAAGTTGAAAATTTTGACACTTTTGTAAAATCTAAATATACCGTTGCAAACAGTATAAAATATTGTAAAACTTTTGTAGGGAACACTTTTTCATATACTTTATATACCTTCATTTACCTCTACTTACACTTTTCATATACTTCGTACTTTAGAAGATATTCACAAAAAGATGAAAATGTTTCTTCCGCGGGGTTGTTTCACTCCCTAAACTTTGAGATATGCACGTAAAAAAAAATCTGTCTAATACTTTTTGTTGCTCTACAACATATCCAAAACCCATCAAAATCGGTGAGGGACAGTTCATTCGGGGAGGGAATGCAGGCGTAGTTCCCCTGACTCCCCCCACCACGGTCCGAGCGGTAGGCACCCCGCAGGGGTTTTAGTCGGTAGAAGTCCGACATAACCTCCGTCCTCCCCAAAAGGGCGGGGGTATCCATGAGGATTTCCCCAGTGTGATTAAAAAAAAAAAGGGACAGTTCATACCGTTTCCTTGTAAGTCGTCTGGGCGTTATGAAAGACAGATCTTGTAAAACTTATAACAATGTTCCACTATAAGTGTGTTATAAAATGGTAATATTTTACCTGTTTTAAAAGTAGGATCTAATAACATAATTGTCAAAGATACATGTAGTTTTTATAGCATTTTATAAATTCTCGCCGCGGTATGCGTGTACGCTAAAAAGGAACCTGTCTTTCATAACGCCTAGAACGACACAGAAGAAAAAGCTATCGATTAGAACGTGAAAGAGAGAATATGTTTATTCTCGACGTTGATCATTAAAAATTCGATCTTTATCCAATTTTGAGAACCATAGATGATACGAGATTTATACCGTAGAACTATGTTACCTAGGTCTAGAAAAACTCAGAACCAAAAGCTGCCGATTAGAACACGAAAGGAAAAGTATGTTTACTCTTGACGATGACCGTTAAAAACTCGATTTTTTCAAATTTGTGAGGACCGTAAATAATACGAGATTTATACTATAACTATGTTATCTAGGTCTAGAACAACCCAGAACAAAAAGCTGTCGATTGGAACATGAAAGAAAAGGTATGTTTATTCTTGACGGTGATCGTCAAAAAGTCGATTTTCTCGAATTTTGTGAGATCCGTAGATGATACGAGATTCATACCATAGAACTATGTTATCTAGGTCTAGAACAAGCCAGAACAAAAAGCTGTCGATTGGAACATGAAAGGAAGGGTATGATTATATTCATGTTCGAGGAAGATGAAAGGAAGGGTATGTTCATACACTTGGTCGGGGAGTATTCGTATGTGGAACATTTTATCCATTTGCTGGGCTTCCAGTTTGACTTACGGAATTGTTCTTCTGAAATAATGTTTTGAACAGCTAAAACAATCTGTAACGATAAACAAATGTTTAATTTTTGAGAAAGGTGTGCCCAGCTAAAAAAATAGTTTTTCTCGTTTTATTGGGAAACTGTTTGAAATAAAATAATATCGCTTTGGAACAATGTAGTATAAAGTTAGAACGATCTGGAATAACTTTCAAAAATATAATTTTTAAAATAGATGGGGCTTCATGTACACTTGTTACTTGAGAGCTCTTGCTTGCCAATTGAGAGTTAGCTAAGAATATAATAATGTTCATCCCTTGCAAAAAGCTCGTAACTTTGTTTTATAGTGTTATAACTTATTTTATGATTTTAGGTTTCGATTTGTAAAAATAGTGATAATGGATACTTTATTCATTCAAAACATTGCCGACGAGGCAGAAGATATACCGCAGGTTGATGATCCAGTCTGGATTCTTGGCAGAGTATATAATGCTATTAAAGGTATAATAAATTATTAATTACTTACGGCGAAGTGAATCATAAAATGTTGGATTTTAGAGCTCGATATAATACGTAGAGATATTCGTTCCATACTGTGGTTTACGTACCGAAAAGGTTTTGTTCCCATCGGTGGCTGTAACTCTACGTTTACATCTGACAAAGGTTGGGGTTGTATGTTGAGATGTGGTCAAATGGTTCTTGCCCGAGCCCTAATTACGTTACACTTAGGTATGATGCAAAAATTTAAATAATTTGAAATGTATTTTTTAGATTATAGAAGATTTATTAAAATAAAATTTATAATATTTGCTGATTGTGCTAATAATTGATACACATAATTAGAGACCCTCTAATAAGAGTCTCGACACATTATTGACTTTTTCTCTAATTTTGTTACTAAAGTGATAAAAAATGGTGTCTGCTTATGTAGATAATCTTCACAAGAAATTTCTATTAGTACAATGTATAGTATTACATAAAATGCAACAATATGAATTGTTGCATACGAAAATGTAAAAGTTAAAGTAACAAATTTTAAATGATAGCTATACTAACAAATTCTGAGAAACGAATATTGTTAAATGACATTCTGTTATTTTCAATTACTTTAGAAACTAGAACTACTTTAGAAACTAATAAAACAGCAAAAACGAGATGTCAGGACTTTTATTAGAGGGTTTCTAATATATTTTCTAATATTAGGTGTGTGAATTAATTCGGTCCATTTTTTTCTTCCAAAAAAGACTTTAGTATGAAAAAACATGAAAAAGTACATTAATTAATAAGTATTTGCTATCGCTTGCTATTATTTTTTCCCATCTGTCTGGCAGTTGTTGCATTCCGTGACGGAAAAACGACTCGTCCTTCGAAGCGATCCATTCATTGAGCCATTTCTCTATTTCTTCATAATTGTTGAAGTGCTGGTCCGAATGCCCGTGTGCCATCGATCTGAACAAATGATAATCGGATGGAGCAATGTCTGGTGAATACGGCGGGTGAAGTAAAACGTCCCAGCCAAGTGTTTCCAAGGTGGCCTTCACAATCTTTCCAACATGTGGCCGAGCATTATCGTGCTGGAAGATCACTTTGTCGTGTCTCTTTACATATTCCGGCTGTTTATTCTTCAATGCGTTGTTTAAACGGATCAATTGTTGTTGGTAAAGTTCGGCAGTGATCGTTTGACTCTGTTTTAATACTTCATGATACACTACACCCTTCTGGTCCCATCATATACAGAACATTACTTTTCAGCTGTGAATATTCCGCTTTGGTATCGATGTGAATGGTTTTCTTGGATCGCTAATGGATTTCCTTCATTTGGGATTATCGAAATATATCCACTTTTCGTCTCCAGTCACAATACGATGCAAAAAACCTTTTCTTTTTTGCCTAGCAAGCAAGATTTCAGACATGGCTTTTTACCTCTCGATGTCTCTTTCTTTCAGTTCTTTCGTATGGCACCCATCTTGCTTCTTTGTAAATCTTTCCCATGGCTGCCAAACGCACAGAAATTGTTGATCGATCAACATTCAACAATTGCATGAGCTTATGTTGCGATTGACACGGATCTTCATCGATTACCGCCTGCAATTCCTCGTCCTCGAACTTCTTCGGCTGACCTGGACGAGGTTTGTCATCGACACTGAAATCATCACTTTTGAAACGTCGAAACCATTCTCTGCATGATTTATCGGTGGGAGCACTTTCACCATAAACTTCTACGAGCATTCGATGAGCTTCAGCGGCTGTTTTCTTCAAATGAAAACAAAAAATGAGAACTTCCCAGAAATGATGCTTTTTTGGCTCGAATTTCGACATTTTCGAATCAGATAAACACGATGTTATTGTTACAAACCCAAACGTTTATCAACTGAATATTATTGTCAGATATTAAAACTAAAAAATAAAGCCTTTTGCAGACATCAGAGGTTAGAAAATTACATAGTATAGCAATTGAAACCGCCAGATAGGCCGAATTAATTCACGTGCCTAATATATTTATTAACTCTTGCAGTTTTGGAAAGTGCAGTATTCTTGGCAAAACGTTGTCTGCGCATTTTCATATAAAATATTGTAAAATGTCAAATAATTTTTACATGAAAAACGAAATACGTCTTGTTAATTCAAGTTTTCTTATAAAACTCTTGTTCTGAAACATTATTAATGTGCTAAAATAATTTCTACTGAAGCCTAATTTTCTATTTAGACTAACTATTTGTTTAGACGGCGATAAATAGGAGTCTGCCAATTCCGTTAAAACATTCTTCGATGCTTTTTTATTGGATTATTCACACAATATCCGTTACTGTTACATTTTGATTATTTCATTAGAAAAATATTGAAGAGTATTTTGATTGAGAATTGTCAGATTTCTATTCACAATTGATGAGATGCACAGTCAAGCGGGGTCTGCAGTCGTAAAGCCCTAAATTGTAAGATTGTTTTAAGAAAATTGATCAATCGCAAATGATTATTCTTCGAACGGAAAGATCATAATCGGCTGCGACTGCGACTGCGTGTGTGTGATGCGTGCGTGCGTGCGTGGATGCGCATGTGTTTGTGCGTGTGTGTGTGTGTGCGTGCGTGTACATGCGCACGCATGCACGTACGAAACATGTTTATTTTTTCAAACATTTATATATTAACTTAATCCGCTTATTCGAAAACGCATTTTTTAAACTCCAATATCACTCACTTTAAGCCATCGTATTTTTTATAATTTTGATTTTCGGAGTTTTTGTCAAAGAAAACTTTTGATCAGCATCACCTAAACTACAGCATTTTATAATTTCAGCTAATTTGACCGAAGGAATTTTTTTATATGTAAAATCTTCGGAGTTCTTTAATAAAGAAATTCCGGTTGAAAATATCAAAATTCAATTCAATTTATCAAGATTTTTGGTTAACTTTAACGAAATTTTGTTATTTTTGACCCTTGTTACATCCTGAAGAAGGAACGTAACTGGATGTTTGCATTTGCAAGTTCTGACGTACTCGCAAGTCTGCGGTGCCGATCAAGGATCGGAATGACCTTTTTATACGGCGCGGACGTACGTCGAGGGTCCTTTATGTAGGTGAAGGAACTGAATCCCTTTACCTGGGATAGGACCGTGAGTGACAGTTGAGGAAGGTGGGCTAGAGAAGTGATTTTAAAATCAATTATATAAAAAATCATTTGAACAAATAACAAAGTTTATTAAAATTAAGATAACAGGCAGTACGGTACAACAGCGTGATTTTAAAAGTGACAAATTACAGTTACGCGAAACATGTGTATGCGTGTGTGCGCGTGTGTGTGCGCGTGTGTGTGCGCGTGCGCGTGTGTGCGCGTGTGTACGCGTGTGCGTGTGTGTGCGTGCGCGCGCGCGTGTGTGTGTGTGTGTGTGTGTGTGTGTGTGTGTGTGTGTGTATGTGTGTGTGCGTGTGCGCGCGCGCGCGCGCGCGTGTGTGTGTGTGTGTGTGTGTGTATGTGTGTGTGCGTGTGCGCGCGCGCGCGCGCGCGCGTGTGTGTGTGTGTGTGTGTGTGTTCTGAATGAAGAGGAACGGAGAGGGAAGGAAAACGAATATAGAAAATTAGTCAGGTTAGGGACAGCGGTCTGGCGAGTTAAGGGGGGTGGACAGTTCAGAAAAAGAGACAGGAGACTAAGATCTTGTGGGAGAAGAGAAAGGAGTACCAGGGGATGAACGTTGAGGGAGAATGTAGGGAGGTATAAAGAGGAGTGACGGATCTGGGTTATAGTTGATTTCTAATGAAATATTGATAATTGCTCGGAGGTATTGAGCGTTAGATTCTATTGCTACGGGATCTCTTGTTTCAAAGATCGACTCGAACGAGTGAAGAACTCTTTAAATGGTGACAGTGGTATGATAATAATGACCCACAGAAAACGGATTTAATAATAACGGGTGGAATTAATAAAATGAGGGTATAAAGGTAGAGAATAAATAAAACTTACTGCTGGTTCAAGATGACTTGTACAAGAAAAGAGAACAGGGGCTGCTACTTTACGTGGGTGTGCCTCTCAGGATCTCTCAGGATCGGTCCAATACCTACACTAGCACGTTACACACAACAATATACTCATTGATAATTATTCGGAATGATGGAAATTGTCAAAATCTGAGTGACTGGATGCTAACTTGTCAAAAGCTGAATGTCTGAATGCCAACCGTCAAGAAAGAGGAATATCTGAATGAATGTGGAGGCGAATTGTCGCGGTTTTTATACTGGTGATCGGAGGCAGGACCCACTAGGGTGGGTAAAGAGATGGCCATTGGAGAAGGGGTGAAACCCTAAGAAGAGTCCAATGATGTCAGAGATTTGTTTAGTAATTTTTATTATTGGTCCTGGTTGACCTTAGTGGGAAAAAGTCTTAGCCATTAGAAATTAAGGATGAGGTTAAAAGATCTCGTGGGAGGAGACGGTTAGTTTTTGAAGATATGAATATAGAAAGGCTAAGAGGTGGAGCGTGGATGTCTCATAGTTTTGGGCGGATTGGTTTGATTGGCCGAATGGATTAGGCATGACAAGTGCGAGGGTGGTGGATTCTTGTAGGGTGGAGAGATGTGCAAGTGACCAGCTGAAAGAGTCAGGATGCCGTAAATCAAAGGTTGAGATAATATTTTATGACTACTAGTGAAGTAAGCTTTGTTGTTTGACTGGTAGGTTTCGGACGTATGGTTTCGGATTGGGAAGATGTAGGTTTCAAGTTTTTAGAGCAGGAATGCTTCGAGTTGCTTTGTTTTGCTGAAGATTTGTTAGCGCAGAGTTTCAAATTTTATAGCTAAACCGACGGATATATTAAACTCTAAACAAAGACGTGTAGATTTTCACAACAGGGTACTGTTTTCTGTTATGGCATTTTTGTATCGCCTTCGATTTAACGTGACGGATGTTCGCGAGATGTGTCTGTTTTCTGTGACTTTTGTTATATTAGGAGAATAGAAGTTTGAGAGAAAAAAAAAAGAAAAAAAAATTTTAATTCCCCGGAGTTCATTGAACGTAACACCCTTATCGGACATCAAATTTTCTGACCTGTGTTGCCGCTAGATCGTTACTAGGCCAAATATTCTTGCGAATATGCAATATTTAATGTTTTTCAAGTCCTCAACAAAATATTTGAAAGCATATTCTTTGATAAGGTATAAGGACGCCACGGGGGAGGAAGCTTTTACCGCAACAGTAGATGAAAAATGTCCGTAACAATTAAAGGCATGTCACATGGGAG